GGCTCTACTCCAGGTCTCCTAAGCCCTGGGGAAACAGAAATGAGTCATTTGGGCCTCTGCCCTTAAGGAACTGTCAGTCTGTAAATCCGTGCTGGAACACAGTTGAAGTTTCCCCTCAAAGCATATTTAAGAAAATAGTTTATTGCATGGGACAGAAATGCTGACTGTGTTGTGCAGTTGAAAAACTAGTGGGGAAAATGACATACAAATGTCAGGTTTTATATAAAATTTGTCAACTCACAAGACTCTGTGCCTGTAGACAGGTTGAGTATTTGCTCAGCCTAACAGAAAGATAAATTGTGTTTGTGTTTATTCTTCCTGCCCTGAGGCTGATTGTTGGCTATACCCTTTGGATATGATTAAATGCTTTGATTAGAACAACTACTATCATTTAAGTAATCTGAACATTATTTAATATGAAGAGGAGACCTGGATTCTAGGTGCCGCCTTAGCAGGATGTAGTCCTGGAAGGTGGGGCATGACTAAACTGTTCTGGGCCTCTGTTTTCTCATCTCTAATAGTGAGATACTACCCCAGATGACCTCTAAAATCCCTTCCACTTCTAACACCCTGTGATTCAAGAATCAGTCATTGTAAGTAATTAGCTTATAGAATTTTACCATATACCAAGTTTAAATTTTGTTTCTGTTGGGTATTATTTTGTGTGTGTGCTGGAATGCTGAAGAATTTTGTTTTAATTGTGAAAGCTATTTCTTGTGAATAATTTTAGGGGCAACTTAATTTTTCCAGGTCCTTCAGTGATTTAAGTATTATAAACATAGAAATTAAATGTGAATTATAGTATGTAGCAAGGAAATTGAGACTTTTTCCTTATCTAGAAAATGTAAATAATAGTATACCTCGTGATGGTTGGGAGAAGCAGATAATGTGAAATGCGTTATGACAGTTTATAAATTGCTATTTCAGCTTTGGTTGTGTGGTAACTAGTTTGTAACCTTTACAAGATGGGTGTGGACTCAGTTTTCTAGTTACTTTTCACTGACAACTGAATACTTTTATCCTAGGACTGAAATGTAGCAGCTGTGAGCCTTTTCCAGATGGAGCCACAAACAGCCGCTCTAGATCAAATTCAGATGAGAGTACTTTCTCTGAAAAACTGAGAGCATCCACTGTCATGTATCATCCGGAAGGAGAGTCCAGCACAACCCCCTTTTTTTCTACTGATTCTTCTCTGAATTTGCCTGTTCTAGAAGTAGGCAGAACTGAAAATCCCTCTTTCTCTTCAACTACGCTTCCTAGACCTGGGGACCCTGGGGCTCCTCCTTTGCCACCAGAGCTGCAGTTAGAAGAAGAAGGAACTTGTGGAAACTCTAGTGAGATGTTTCTGCCCTTAAGATCACGTGCTCTTTTGAGGCAATGACACTTTACTGGCTTTTAATGTTTTTAACAAGGACAAAAAATATTTGAATCATCTTACAAGGTTGCTATAATGACTTATTAACATTTGATGCACATCTTTTATACACATCTTTTAAAAAACACAATGTAAACATAGTTTGTAAATAGAAATTTTTAGAATAAAAGAAGCATGCTTTTAGATAGCTGAAGTCAGTCATGTTGATCATGTACCTGGCAGTGTTTTCTAGTTTTTTTCATTTCTGAGGTAATTTAGTGTTTTCACTTTTTTATGCCTTAAGACTAATTTTAATAGAGACCATTTCTCTATTTGAGAATAGAGTCTTAGGCTGGGAGTAAAGTTTCTTCTCTGTGTATTTGTCCTAATAAGTTTCACAGTCTAATAGTCCTTTCCAACCACTCAGCAATAAATTTTCAGCATTAAGCTGTTCCTCTTTGCTAATGAAGCCAGTCACTGCTAGGGCAACTGCCAGCGTACCGAAAAGAATCTTTTTCCCACTCAGTTGGGCTTACAGAGTCCCCTTCTGATTCAGAGGAACGTCTGATGGAATTTGAGCCACCTAAAGTATCAATGTGCCAAAATACATTTCTTATTAATTTTGCTAATTAATACTACTTTCTTAAGATTTTCACATTCTTTGCTTTATCATTCTCATTCCTAAAGAAAAATCTTGACAAAAACTTCAGTTATTATGTATAATTTGATGAGATTAAAAAAAAACTTTCTCTGTACTTTTCTTCATTCTCTTTTAATGAGGACCACTGGACAACTAAACTAACTAGAACACAATGTTTTGTGTGTGTGCGTATGTGACAGCTCTGTTTGGAATTCTGTTTGGAACAAGCAGGCCATTAGCTAGATTTGTCTTTTTGTTCCATGACAAAGTTTGACTAATTTTACACATTTATAAATTTTCTGCTTTCATTGTTTTCATTGAATTATAATTTCCTGATATCTGTCTCGTATATATTTCCATTACTTGCAAAAAGCAGAGATGGAAATATGCTATTAAAAATAAATTGTTTTTAAATTGTAGTGCTGTGTTTTGGAAGTTTCAAATTTTTCAATAGAAATTAAATAGCTGAAACTTTAAATATGTACCAATTTTTATAGGAAACATTACTTCAAGTTGTGAAAAGGAGTTGCATTTCTGGATAGACCGATGAATTTATCAAAGCTAAGATTTCAACTGACTTAGACTTTTGGGTTTTCTGACTTCTGTGAAGTCAGTTTTTTTCCTTTAAACACTGAAAACCAGCCATTGCCAAAAACATATAAAGTTGAATGATAGACTTACGTGATATAGTGCAATTGGTTATTAGGTTGATTAATGTAGCAGTGAGAAAGTTAATTTTCACAAATACCATATTATCACTTAATATAAAAACAACACCTTTGAGCTAACTTTTTTTATTGCTTTTTAAAAATTAAGACGCTTTATTTTTTAGAGCAGTTCTAGGTTTACAGCAAACTTGAGCAGAAAGTACAGCATTCTCATATGCCCCCCTACCCCCATTTCCCATATTAACATCTCACATTAATATGACACATTTATTAGAATTGATGAACAAGTCTTGATACATTATTAATTAAAGTTAATAGTTTAGGATTCACTCTTTGTGTTGTACAGCTTTGTAAGTTTTGACAAATGCATAATGCCATGTATCCACCATTGTAATAACACAGATAACAGTTCCACTCTCCTAAAGATCCTGTGTTCCACTTCCTCATCCTTTCCTCTTTCATCCCCCTTCAGCCCTGGCAACCACTGCTCTGCTTTTTCTCTCCATTGTTTTGTCTTTTCCAGAATGTCATATAGTTGGCATCATACAATATGTAGCCTTTTCAGCCTGGCTCCTTACACTCAGCAATATGCATTTCAGTTTCCTCTGTGTCTTTTCATGGTGAGCTTACTTTTTCAAGAGGTAATTCCATCTTTGGTCAGGATGTCATTCTTAGTACGAGGTCAAACACTGGCAAATTAGGAGCAGAACCCGATAATGGCAGTTTTTCGTTTTTAGGACCAAGTTTTTTTGGATTTCTGGGGAGTTTTTTTTTTTTTGGTTTGTTTATGTTGACAAACATTAAAAAATTCTTAATTTAGCTCAATGGTTAGTTCTTTCGTGGTTAGTGATTTTTGCTTCCTGTTTAAAAAAAAATCTTCACCTATCCCAATGTCACAATGATATTCCTCCATGTTTTCTTCTGGAAACTTCGTTGTTTTAGTTTCACAATTAGCTCTGTGATCCATTACAAAGCAATTTTGTGTATGGGATAAGATGGAAATCAAGTCTTGTAGGTGCAGTTCTTTTACCTAAGCAATGCAAAAGGGAGCAGGAAGTTTTAAGCTCTGGCCTTATCTTGTATTGCTGCGTAAATAAGCACATTGTTGACTTAGAAAAATAGCAAACCAAGCAGCAAACCGATTTATAGTTGTTAAATGTAATCTTATGAGGGCTCTCTGAAAGGAGCTAAATTTAAGCGCAGACAATACATGGATAAGTTGAGCGCTGCTTCTGGAGTCCTCACTCTGAACTTGCCACTAACTATCAGACAGTTGTCCTGTATGGCAACAGTTCCCAAACTTTGCGGCCCATTTTAGAATCACCTGGAGAGCTTTCAAAGATCCCGGTGCCAGGCTGCCCCCCATACCAACTAAACCAGAACGTTTTGATGTGGAAGCCAGGCCTCAGTGTGTAAAAATGTCTGGGTGATCCCAGTGTGGAGCAGCGCTTGGAAGCCACAGCCGTGCTGGGTGCTGGGTGCTGTGCTTGGTGCTTCCACATGTGTGATCTTGTCTTTAATCCTAATAACAGCCCTGCAAGGAAGGTGTTACTGTTCCTTTTTCTTTTTTTTTTTAACGGATGAGAAACAATCTTACGATAAAGTATATGGCTCAAAATCACACAGCTCTTTAGTGTTAAAATCTAGGGCTGTTTCACTCCAAGATCAATGTTCTTCCCACAACTCCATGCTCTCTAATTTACATTTCCTAATGGCAGAAAGGTAAGGGTGGAGACTGTGTAATTTTTCACTCATTAATTCAGTAATTATTTATTGAGTACCTATCATTTTAGGTCCTGGAGATACAGTGATAAACAAAATCGACAAAGTCTGTGTTCCCGTAGAGCTCACATTCTAGTTGAGGGAGATGGAAAATAAACACGGAAGCGCAGATAGTCCTAGTTGCCATGAAGATAAAGCGGGGCCTGGAAGAGCTGAGAGGGAACTGGGACCAGAGCTCTGATAGCATTATGAGGGGACATTAGAGCTGAGACCTAAGAGATAAGAGGGAAGGAGCCAGCCGTGTGAAGTTCTGGGAGGAAGTTTAGGCAAAAGTAACATCAAGTTCAGATGCAGAAGTATTTACAAGCCATTGCGAGACATTTGGATTTTCTTCCAAGGTGGGAAACAGTTGGAAGTTTGTAAAGAAGGGAGTAATGTGATCTGGTGTGTGTTGTAAAAGTCCAGAGGCTGTGTGGAGAATGGCTTGGAGAGGGATGGGATGGAGGGAGGAAGATCTGTAGACAGTTATCGCAACATTTCAACTCTAGTCCTCTGTCCCTTCCTCTAACCTTCCCTTTCATTCTCTTCTCTGCACTTCTCTAACAAGTCAATCCACAAGTCATTATGTGGGTCTGTGCACAGGACGTATCTGCACCAGTGGGACTTGGGGGACGTAGTAAGGGGCCACACTGGAGTGTGGGAGGCCAAACAGGATGCAGATTACATTTGGTT